AACATCGATCAAGTTTCCAAACAGGCTCGTCTCTAACTAAACTAAATTATTGATAACAATCGACGGCTGAAATATAAAGCGCATTGCTACTGCAGCGCTCCCGCCAACACAACGCGTTCTATTTTCAAACATTTGAATTTCAAGTTTCAAGTTTTCTTTTTTTTACTACTTTACTTTTTAAATACTTCAAGATGCCTTGCGGAGGTTGTGGTGACAGTGAGTTTCGTTTTTGTTTTTTATTATTATTTGTGTATTCAGTTTTATTATATTTTAAGTAGCCTTTTATTAATTTTTTATTTGATCAGTACCTGACCTAGTGTAAGGCAATTTAGTGTATAAATAGCGAATGCAATTGTTTTGCCTAGAATATCATGGTGGTGCGAAGGTTAAGGCTTCTCACTCGTAAGGAGATGGATTTGAAAGAAGGAAGTACCAATGTGACTTTTTCCGAGTCATATGTACTTTCTAATTTCATTTAGACACCACATACACACGGTGAAAAGAAACATCGCGAGGAAACCTGGACTTATAATTCTAATTATAAAATTGACATCGCCAATACGCCTTGAGCAAGCGTTGAGCAAGGTGATTAATACTCAAACCTTCTCCGTGTAAGAAGAGGCATTTGCTCAACAGTAGGATCTTATAGGCTGATGATTATGTGATGTGTTTTGCCAAGTATTTGTTTAACGTTCGTGTGTTGTATTTCGTATAAAAATTTAATTTTTAATATAGGTAGGCAGGTATAAAGATAAGAATAATTATTATATTTTTGCCTTTAAAATACGCATAGAAACAATTGTCTATCATACGTTGGCTGATAACAGGGCAAGAACATTACTTACATAGGTATGTTGCACTCACTAATCATGCAGTGTAGGTACCTACGTAAACGCATTATCGATGTTTACAAAATAATACCTTTTTGTTTAATGTGAAGGACATTCGAAGTGCAAACTTCTTTGACGTTTCTCGCTGATAGACGTAGTCGAAAAAGGTATTCGATTTTTGAAATAGCTGTTTATATTTTAGAGAAGGTTTCTCAATATGGATCAGTAAATATTTTTAATTTTTTCGAAGTCCTTCGAAGTATGGATAATTAAACGACAATCAAATATCTTTATCAATCATCTTTATTCTTACTGCGGACGTTTTACTTATTTTGAATACCTTACCTAAGTTTAGTAACTTATGTAGGCGACGCAAAATACATTTTACCGTTTATATTCTAGCATTTTATATGATGTGCTAAACTATCGTGAGACAACATTTGTCGCGGGGCGAAGCCGCTGCAAATGCTGCGGTATGCTCACGAATAAGAATTAAGGATCCCGTTGTGACTTGAAACTAGTAGAGTTTTTCTCTGTAACTTCACGAGAGCAAATCGATGTTTTCTCATGAGGAAGTAGTTATATATTTTGTTGATATCTTTAGAAGTTGAGAAAGATCTCATGATTAATTAATTATGTTTAACGGCTGACACCAGTGACAACGCGAACAAGACGATTTGGCGTCAAGCGAGTAGACCAATCAAAGGATGGTAAGCGATCACCACTGCCCATAACTACGTCGCGAACGTTGCCTGTGTTATGGGCATCAGGCATTTGACGGTTAGTGTATTTGGGGATTTGGCGTTCCGCCATCACCAAATCCAGGTGGTTGTAGGTATAGGTGGCATGGTGTAGCCTATGACAGTAGATCCGGGGTTTTTTTTATTTGATTCGATATAGGAGCTGCAGGCGGTTTTGTAAGGTTGTGTCCAGATTGTCCCAATAAAAAACCTCACTCACAACGAAATAATAGAAACGTCGTTGCGCGCTGATGTCCTGTGATAAAAAAAAACAACTAGCGAATAGTGGAAATAATCAAATGTTGCATGTCAAGTTTTATTCACTGTTATGTTGTTTTTCACATAAATTGATATATTATGCCTTAGAAGGTATGTTCTTATTAAACTGGAAATAAACTGAAAATAGAATCTTATCGGAGATCTGTAGGTAAATACTTACGATCTTAACAACAAGAATATTACCTATTGCTTACTTTATATTACAGGCATTTGCAAAAATTTTTAAAAATAACCAGTTTTTCAATTTTAATCATATCCATTGAAAATGTGATTTTAATAAAAAAAAAAATATATCTTTGTTACAGACTGTAAATGCAGCGCAAGCCAGTGCTGCACATCATGCAAGTGTGATGCATCTTGCACTTGCTCCTGCAAGCGTTCAACAACCAGTGCAGACACTGCAAAGGACATGAAGAAGTAACCATCATAGCATTAAGCCTTTTTCGTCGAAACAAATAAACAAAAAAATCAACCATCTATGGTCATGGATTTCAAATTTCATAATTGGAACACCGTTTGTCTGTATTCGAATGTTTTTATTTTGACATTAGGTATGTTGCATTCATGTAAAATTAAAAATTAATATTTGTACCATTTTATTTTGTACCAGTGACACAACTGTTTAAATAATGAAGAAAAAATAAATAAGTTAATTACACAGGTGTGTATTCATACTTTCTCTGCCAAATAAACTGCATAGCGCATTCATTATTATTTGAGTTGATATATGACCTATGACATTTGTTTTTATATCACACATCATTCATATGACCTGATCTCATCGTTGTTCACGCCTTTTCGGTTTCATTGTTTACTTAATTAAAATAAATAATTTTATTATCTTCATAGTTCATGACTTTTATTGTCACCAATACCGGTCAAATTGTTTTTTATATAACTCATTAGCAATATAACTAAGTACAGGATCTTCAAGACTGATTTTCATATTTTATTTCATGCAGGAATCTGTAAAGAGAATAAATAAGTCATTGAACAAACTAGAAACTTTGAAGTCCGTGTTAAGTTTAAATGAAAATGGGTTTACAATTTTCTCGTTATAAACTATAACAATGCAATTTCTGCCAGTCAAGCTAGGCGTCTGTTGTACCTACTCTAAGGGGAGAGATCATTTGTTTACATCAGGTATCCCCATTTCTGAATAATTAAACAAAGAAAATGTTAATATTATTTTGTTGACTAGGTATTTTGTTAGTAGTTATTTGGCCTTTTTTGACAGTTACCGAGTGAATTCTACTGCCCTAAGAGGGCCAAGAGGGACTGTCAGAATCTTACTGACTAAAAATCACTGCTCCAAGCGGCACATTTTTGGGACCTTAACCTGAATCACACGACGAAACACAACGCGAGCATGCTTCGAATATTGGGCCTGGGCTGTCCCACATTTAAAACTATACTCAGATTTGAAGAGAATAATAATTCCAGACTAACTTTTTCACTGGACACGTTCACAATATCTATAGATAGGTACCTACTTACGTATGTATCTGAACACAGTTATAGGATTTCGTGATTCAAAACGTTTTCAATAAGATTGAATATTCCTTAAAACGTATTTAATTTATCATTCAAATAACTACTGCCTTAGGGTGATGTTTTATAGCCTATGGCACTCATGAATATTGTAGATATATATATCAGTAAAAGAATTTTGGCAATCCGTCCAGTGGTTCCAAAGATTAAATACCCCCTGTGCATATAAACTTACAAATGTAACCTCTTTATAATATTAGTAAGTATATATGTATAGCTACTTCTGTATTACCTACTACAATTATTAGTATCAGCAGGAATGACAGCGTTGTCAACAAATCGTAATTACTCACGATCAATATAGATGTCGTGACAGTCACAGCCTGGCCCGCAATCACTGGAACTTGGCGATATAGGATTTAAATCTGAAATAAAACAAATGAAGGAATAGAATCAACATAAGCCATCGACGTATCTTAATACCCTGATCTATCAACGTGTTTTCGACTTTATAGTTTTATGATTAGGTAATAATTACAATGACAATTGGTATATTTTCTCCTGCTCCTGACGGATCTGTATGACTTAGTTACCGGTGTGGTATCTGTACTACACTAAAATTTTAAGTTTTTTTTTAACACATAGGCTACTTTTTATCCACCACACAGGTGCAGCCGTGAGCAGTAGCTAGTGAAAAATAAACTATTACTGCTTTAAAAAAATGAAATAAAAATAATATCAACGTACCACTTAGTCCATCATAGATTCTCATTTTAAATTTCTCCAGCAAATAACTATAACGTCTAACTTACTTAAGAATAATACAAAGAATGAAAGAAAAATGCATCAAAGCAACTGGTCATAAAAAAAATATAACTTAATAAAAACTTTCTGACATTGATAAACCAATAAAACAAAACTAATGAGGCGTATCGATACTCAGACGGCAGCAAGTCGAAATACCCTGATCTATCAGGTAAAGTTAAAACATTTTGAACCTTGCAGCATTACATTAATGTAGAAAATTTATTGACAGTTTAGGATAGCTTGATCTGCTGTCATCGGTAAACGAATCACTATAGTTCGTGAAATGAGAAGATGGATTTGTTTAACTATGGTTAACTAGCGGTCGCCGGCGGATCCTCCCGCGTAGAAGCCGATTTTACACTTTTTCAAGACTTTTCTTTTATATTTTCTCTACGTACAAACCTACTCTGGTCTTCCACGAATAGTTCAAGACCAAAATTTGCTAAATCGGTAAAGCCATTGTTGAGTTATAACATTACAATGAAAAGTGGCATATAGATATAGATAAGTATTCGTATCGTTATAATCATCATCATCATCATCAACAACAATCATAAGACGTCCACAGATGAGCCATGTTGATCTGAACATGGAAAACCGCCTACGATCAACAGAGAGGAAGACTCGTGACGTTTACCACAGATAAACAATATTGTAAAAACAGGTTCAATATCATCGAATACAAACAATAAAACCTTTTTGGTTCATTCGAGGTCTCACCAACCTTGCTATTGTAGTTTTTACTCTAATTTTTAAAGTTTATTTGTATATAAACCTCAAACTGTTTGCTTAAACGCATAGTCTCGAGTTTGCAGTAGTTTCAAGATCTTCAACCAACGAACTATCAGCCAAAATGCCTGCCCCTTCAGAACAGTGCAAAGGTACGTTAAAAGGACCTCTTTATTAGTCTGTGGGCTTAAACTAAAAGTCAAATAATATATTTCAGTGTAGGATTGTTTTTTAATGGTTAGATAAAAGTTACCTGGGAAATAATTATGATGATGTCGCGTCAGAATGTTTGTATAAGACAGTGACAGCAACAATTTTATTCCTCCGACAACATTTAGCTGACTACTAAAAAATCAGCCCTGTATCAGATAAATTTCAATTTGGAACGTATTTTTTATAAAACTTATTTTTTTAAAAATGTGTCACATAAATTTATCGGGAACTTACCCATATGAAATTGAGCAGTCAGTTGAAACAGGTGATTTGTTATTGATCAATAAACATAGTATGTGTACTTTTCAGATTCCTGCAAGGAAGCTGACTGCTGCAAAGACAACAACTGCGAGACTTCTTGCAAGGATTGCTCTACCGAAGGTAAATTGTTTGTAATTATAATTTACATTGAAAAAATATTCGTTATGTCTCAAAGAGCCAATAGACTATTACAGTTTAGGCTGGTGTTTAGCCGGGGTTGAGGAGCAAGCGCTATAAGCAAAGAGGATATAACCACAGTATAAAAGTGGTTAAATCGTCATTGGCTATAAGGTACCGTGGCCTCAGCCTAGAGCTGGTGAAGGGACGGGGTGGTTTTTAGTCAGTTAGAGTCAGTCACTTACTAAGCTATTCTCTTTTCAGGTGGTTGCTGTTAAATGGTGACGTTCCAGCAGAGCTGAGGTCTCCTCGTGTTAAAATATGATGGAAATCGTTTAATTTTCGGCCAAAACCAATAAACTTATTTAAAAAAACAACTTTCATTCTTTTCCTTTCAAATCAATACCATTATCTACTATATCCGTCTAATATTATAGTATATTATAAAGAGGAAAGATTGCACAGCTAGTCCAAATCCAAACTAATATTATATTATAAATCCGAATGTAACTCTGTCTGTCTGTCTTTTATTCACGCCTAAACAACTGAACCGATTTCTGTGAAATTTGGCATAGACATAGTTTAGAACTCAAGAAAGAACATATGATAGTTTTCATACTAAAAATCTGCAGGAAGTCACTATTCCACGCGGAGTCGCGGGCAAAAGTACTTCATAAACCGAAATTCATATTTAAAACTAATAGTCAGCAGGTAGTAACGCTTTGGTGGAGTTTGCTCAGATTGATGCAGGACGCAGAACATTAGAATTAGAAAATACATTATGTTTAGTAGGTACATGTCATATGATTTTATCTAAACCTACATCCAAACTAGCTGTTAAGTTACACATTTTGTTCATAAGGGCTAATTTTTCAATGGTTACATAAAAGTTATCTGAGCAATAATTATGTTGCTGTCGCGCCAGAATGTTTGTAAAAGACAGTGACAGCAACCATTTTTTGTTTCCTCAGGTAGCGTTGATTAAGATCATAGAATCAAACATTCTTCCTTTTTGTATATAATCGCTTTGCGATTAAAACCTTTTTCTAAATAAAGATTTAAAAAAGCAGGTAGTAAACTATGTAGTTTTTTACAATGAGTTGCTTTGCGAGACCGAATAAAAAACGAGGATGTCCGCAAACGAACAAAGGTTGCCGACATAGCCCAGCGGATTAGCAAGTTGAAGTGGCAATGGGCAGGGCACATAGAGCGTAGAACCAACGGCCACTAGGGCAGAAATGTTTTCGAGTGGAGGCCACGTACCGGCAAGCGCAGCGTAGGACGTCCACCCGCAAGGTGGACAGACGGCCTGATCCTGATTAAGGTCGCAGGAAGCCGCTGGATGCAGGTCGCTTCCAACCGGCCTATTTGGAAATCAATGGGAGAGGACACAGTTCAGCAGTGGACGGCCTATGGCTGATATGATGATGATGATGATATGATCGTAGATGTCGTAATGAGAAATTACTATACGGGCAATTTTAAAAATACGTCCAAAGTAACTGTTGTTATTATTTATGTTCATATAAACATCTGCCTCATAAAGGCTGCCATTTCTAATATTTAATAATAAGTGCCCACACATTATGATTAATATTTAAAAATATCACCCCGGTCTTTTCAATAATTTTAAACAGACTTCAAAAAAAGGAGAAGGTTTTCTATTTGGCCTTAATGTATGTCATGTTATAATAAGTGTGAGAGATTCAAGCATTGGCACAAACGGGGCGTCTTGACCAGAGTGATACCACAGTCTTACAGATACTGGAGTCCTAATCGTTCTCTTCCGCCAATCCCTGAAGAAGAATCCTAATCCCAAAAGGCCGACAACGGACTCTTAACTTCTCTGATGTTACAGGTTTCCCTGGGCGCCGATTGCTTACCACCAGGTAATCCGTCTGCACGTTTGTCGACCGATGTCAAAAAATGAGATTTACTAGACAGTCAGTCGGGCTCAACTAAGGATAGAAAAAATAAAATGGTGATATTCGCAATGTTTTTTTTTTATTTATTTATTATAGGTTCGCGCTTGACCGCTATCTCACCTGATGGAAAGCGACGATGCGGTCAACGATGGAGCGCGCTTACCTAGAAGTAACCTATTCACTCTTGACTTAAAGATACCCAGATTGTAACTATAAGGAAACACCGACTCCGGCAAGGAATCCACTCCTTGGCTGTACGCATAATAAATGTGCTCCCAAAACGTTTTGTACGTATATGTGGGACATCCACCATGTACCGGTGGCGCGATGCCGTACGTCTGGTGGTCCGATGATGGAACGGGCTAGGCGGAATTAAATTATGTAATTCCAACGTACATTCCCCGAAATGCAACCGGTAGAAAACCGACAGGCTAGCAACTCGGCGTCGATGCTCAAGACTTTGAAGTCTCGACTCGACAAGTGCATCATCGCCAATGATCCTCCTGGCTCGCCTCTCAATAGACTCAAGCGCATCAAGTTGGTATCGGGCAGATCCGTCCCAAAGATGAGAGCAGTACTCTATAACCGATCGAACTTGCGCCTGATAAAGTTTAAGCAGCTGTTCCGGCGTGAAGTATTGTCTAACCCTTGCGAGGATTCCCAACTTTTTTGCAGCCAGTTGAGCTTTTGCTTCGATGTATGGCCCAAAATTGAGAGTAGATGTCAGCGTTATACCAAGAAGATCAAGATGGTCAGTTATCGGCACGGATACACCCCGGAAAGTTGGAGCAGGGATGTAACAGTAACATGAAGGATGGTTAGAACCGCCTTAAGCAGCAGCCCAGTAAAGCCCGAGATATAATTATTTTTATAATAACTCTAAAGCCAGAAAACAATACTGCAAAAACAACCAATTCAGAATGCTCTTTTAACTTCATGTTGGAAAATCGTCATGAAGTAAGATACATGGACTAAAAACTGCCCTAGTCTTCCATCTCTCAAGTGAGCGTGACGGCGCCTACATTCAATACCAGTCGCCGTGGTTATTGTTGTGATCTTGCTATGTTGATTTAATCAGGTATAGAATATTACACTTCAACCAATAAATGCAGATGGTATTATATCTTAGTACCGTAGCCGTCAGCATTTACAATTAAATATTTCACTCGCAACAATGGAGGAGTTACGATTGCGTTGCCAACCTTTTAGGGGTTAGGGATTTGGAGATTTTGGGAATGGGGAGGGATTGGGGTAGGGGTAGGATTGGGCCTACGGTAACCTCACTCAAACGGCGAAACACAACGCTGTGGATTTTTCGCCGGTTTTCTGTAAGGCCGTGGTGTCAATCCGGTCGAGCCGACCAGGCTCTCCCACTCTCACACACACATTCATTGCAAAAAGGATATAAATCACGAATAAAAGGCAAAAATACTTAAAACGAAACATTTATATGAGACAGTAGAAGAAAACAAGTGTTATGAAGAAGACTATTGAGAAACTGATGGGGAAGCAAGTCTCCAGGAAGCGGCTGGTGCGGCTGAAGAGTGAGGGGCGACGGTTCCGTCTCTCACTGTCCATTTTCTGATGTTAGCAGCACCCACCTGTGGACATAATTAGACTTACATCAGAACTAACCTACAAAAGTAATGTAAATGTCAGACGGCACGATTAATCGGGACTTTGGGGGTCGGGACGCTCGCCCGATTTAAGGAGATTAATAGTCTAACAGCGATTGTACCACCCAATCCATCGGAACTTAATGATGAATCATGTCATCTGATTGGCGCTTTACCTCTAGGCGAGAGAGTGACAAACAACTCGTTGAAAATAAAAAAGAATTTAATATAGGCAGTATAACGAAATTGGCTACTAATTCCCAGGTGTGGTAATATCATTCACCAATTTTTTGATGGTGGTTAGCAATTAAAGCATTTATTACGATTAAACCAAATGCTTCCTTGCTGCGTGCAACTTTTGCAACTCCTCCCAGAATTAACCCTCCTCTCGTAGCACAATACATCACACCCATATTAACATCTTCATAAATACCTTTTGATGAGCAATCGTCACAGCCTTTGTCCTTGCATCCGCAGTTGTCTCCGCAAGCCCCACCTTTGCAGGTATCTGAAAAGTTCAGAAGTAGTTTTAATAAAATTCTCTGGTAACTTCATTCACACGTCAAAACACATCACACTTTTCACTCTATATTTTTTGCTAAACTTTGGCATAGCTCGTTGTCGGCTCTTTCGTGCCTAATTTCCACTTCGTAAAAGTGGCCAGTCAAGCCTGAATCCAATAAATTAATGTAAAAGAATGCCTTAGGAAAATAAACGTCTTAACGACCTACTTGGTCGTATATTAATTAATTAACCTTAATAGAATGTAATAAAGTATAAAATATGACACAAACCTCAATACAATAACGTTGAACCATTCAACAGTAAACACGATAAATAAGTAACATCTAAAAGGCTATTGTTTCTGTTTATATGGCGGCATTGAGTGACCTTCGTTTAAAGGAAAATGGTATAGGAAGGCAAGTTCAGTTTCCTATCGAAATTTTAATCACGGTGGCTATAGGAAGGCATGATGTTCAACATAGGTTTTATATAATGTATTGACTATTTATTTTGCGTATAAACAATTATCTTAATTAGTAATTCGTCAAACCCCAAAAGAACGCCGGCGTTCGCGCCTATTGTTCTTCCATTGTGTCTCTAATAACTACGAATGAAAGGTTAAAAACGGGGATCATTTTCGCATAGGGTGGTTTTTTTTGGGAGAGGAAAATCAAATATTTTCTTCTGCCCTAGGTGGGGTGAGAGTGTCAAAGTCTTACTGACTGAATGATAATTAAAATAGCGCCAGGGAGCTCCGGCTCGAAGCAGAAGAAGTAACGGGGTGGTTTTAAGTCAGCAAGAGTCCGACACTTCCTGTCGCCCCACCCAGCGACTACACATTTCCCTATCACACAAGAATAAGTCATTCTTACCTTTGCACGGTTCGCAGGGAGAAGGCATGTTGTTTCTAGTCGCAATATCAGCACAAACTGTAATATCTTACAACTTGCTAAGTTATATAGCTGAGAGTCATCGCAAAAACTAATAACATCTGGAACAAGGTTGAGGAAAAACTGATAACTATTATAATACTAAAATTGACCGATATTATAGGTAGGTATCTAGGTACAAAGTATCACGATGGAAGCTTGAAGAAATTATGAACTATCTTTATATCTTTTATAATATCTTTATATCCGTTGGATTTTTAACAGCTGTTTTTGATAGTATATTTTACATAGTCAAATCACATAGGTAGCTAAACAACTTTGAGTCAAGTCACAACAACACACACAACAAATCAAAGTCAAAATCATTTATTTCAACAAACCATAAATAGGCACTTTCAATACGTCAAAACAGAACTACTATATAGTATTATGTTTGTCTGTGAACCTAGGCGTTCGTTCCAAATTGTAGATCCGATTAAGAAACTTAGTCCTTAGACTTTAGAAAAAACAAAATGTAAAATTGCATCTTGGTTTTAAAAACATTTATGTAGGATGTAGATCACAAGAGTTTTTTGGGTTCAATTGTTATTAAAAAGGAGATAAAGCAGGAAAAGCAAGAAGTATTTAGTCTGTAAGTCTGTCGCTCCATCTCGCACGGGGGCGAGAGTAGCAATTTGATGATATGATATAAAAACGTCAAAATTTCGTCAGTCTGTCGGTCAGTCCTCTCAGTAAAGCTATTTGCTCGTTCCAAAGTGTAGATTCCAATAGAGAAGAACGAGCAAGAAAATCCATGGTTACTCTTTTTAAATCAGTTTCACATATAGATTCCTTAAACAAACACTTGGTTCAATTATGTGAGAACGGTGTTATACTAATATTTATTTAGAGAAATATAAAAAGAAAATAACCTTAAGGACAATAGTCCGGAGGTGACTAGAACTGACGGCGCCCGTGCACGAACATGACATGTACACCAGGATATGTATGGTTAGTAAAAAAGAAGATAGCTATAAACAAAGGGTCAATCAATAAGGTAGGAGAACGATCGGGTCTCCTAATCCCAAAATCTTCAGATCCGTAATCCCCAAAACGTCGGTAACGCACTCATAACTTCTCTGCTGTCGCGGGTGCCCACAGGCGGTGCTGTTTGCACTCGGTAATTCTTCTGATCGTTTTCCTTCCATCACAAAAACTTATTTTTTACATTTTCTACCATTTTTAGTTTTATATTTAACAGATTCACGATAGTGAAGAATTTGTGTATAGAAGCCAGCACCTAATGGAGCCATTTCAACTAATGTTGTAATGGAAATTCTACCTTATAAAACTTTATAAACACTTAAACTTAACTATTAAGTGTGGGAGAGCCAAGCTTCGGCACGAATGGGTCGGCTCGACCGGAGTGACGATGACCGGCCTCAGAGAATACCGGCGTGAAACAACCCAAAGTGTTGTGGTTCGCCGTGTGAGTGAGGTTACCGGAGGCCCAATCCCGTCCCTTCCCCTATCCCTTCCCGATCCTTACATCCGCAACCCTTATCCCCAAAAGGCCGGCAACGCAATCGTAACTCCTTTGGTGTTGCGGGTGTCCATGGGCGGCGCTGATTGCTTACCATCAGGTAATCCGTCTGCTCGTTTACCGACTTATACCATTAAAGAAAAAACAATTTAGAATGACGTTGGACATGTTTCCATCTCAACGCAGTACCTACACATCTTTAGACTCAAGAAACAGCAAGATCCTTCCAACTCCAGTCAATCTGACTCGACTCAATGAAGCAAATCTTCAACAATATATTTTTTTTCGATAAAAAATAGGAAAGTATAGCCTGCCCATCAATTTAGCGGGTTCCGCACGACCACACAAACTGAACGTCGAGGAAGCATCGCGGAAGGTTCTTCCTACTTCCCAAGTAACCTTGATTGCGTCCAGTACTCCTATATTTAGGAGATTAATTTAATTTTCATATCATTCTCAGTACAATACTGTGGATTGCAGCAATGGCGACTATCACCCAAACTGTGCAAGGTAGGTCCATATTTATACTTTGGCTATGGATATTTTTGGCGAAATTGGATCAAACGTAAAATTAGACCATTATTAAAAAAGTCATTTTTTTATTTTTTATTTCAATTTTGCTGACATATTTTATGAAGTAAAGGCGACCATTGATTTGTGATTTACTTTTCTCGAATTTTGATCTTATTTGTCACTGATCAACTGCAAGATCAGTTCAGAGTACACTACTACTATTAAGTGAGTAGTATTATTTACTTCAAACTCTTGCCACTGCTGGTTAGACGCTTTGCATCATTCAAAGAAAGTATTATCACCAGTCATACATATTTTGATTTCCTCTGTTGTCCATGGTAAACACCGGTTTCTTACTATCATGCGCTCGTTTGAAGTATCTCTAAAATAAACATCATTAACCACTACTACTACACCTATTACTAAGACACCAAAGCAAGCATCCGGCTAGATGTTTGTAGGTACCTGACAATCATCACTACATAGGATAAAACAAAGTCGCTATCTCTGTCTCTATGTTTATCCTTATGTATGCTTAAGCCTTTAAAACTACGCAACGGATTTTGATGCGGTTTGTTTTCAATAAATAAAGTGTTTGAAGAAGAAGTTTTTTATGTATTATAACATCCATTTAACAGTGAAGAAATTTAGTATCGGCATTGCTCCTATGCGAAGCGGGGTCTTGCTAGTTAATACACATACGAATATTCTTGTCTTCGCTTTAAAGATATACAATCTACAATATAAAGCATTCACTTTTTTTGGAGCACTCATTCCAAGTTTTGGCTTGAATAAAGGAGAATATTTATAGACAGAATGCTTTATTTAGGTGAATAATAAATTTTGTAATTAAAATAGACACCAAACATTTCTATTCGTGTTGAAAAAGAGGAGATCTCAAATAAAAAACTAAGTAATGACATGTAACGGTACATTTTCGTTCATAAAAAAACGTATCTGTCAAGTCTATAGTTTGTAAGAAATATCATTAAAAGTGCAACGACCTTAGTACCTATACTTAGTCGGGTCATAAGTTCTGTCAAAACCTTATATTTTTAATTTTCGATTACTGGCCAGAAATTCTTCGACTTATTTTAAAAATAGAACTTTCGCGCTTGTAGAAAATAAAAAAGAAATTATTTTTTATTCATTTTTAAATATGGAGTGGTCGAATAAAGAAGACAGAATCGCGGTTATCGCGTTGCACCGCTGTGGTTACGCGCCAAAAGACATTTTCAATATTCTTCAAAATTTGAAAATAACGTTACGGTTTGTTTATCGTACTATCAAACGATACACCGAAGAGTCAAGCTTCGAAGATCGTAAGAGAAGCGGCCGACCTCGCACAGTTCGGACACATAAGGTCATCAAAGCAGTGAAGGCGCGAATCGAACGAAATCCCGTACGTAAACAAAAAATCCTAGCTCTGCAGATGGGGCTAAGCAGAACCACTGTTAAAAGAGTACTAAATGAAGACCTGGGACTACGAGCTTATCGTAAAAAGACAGGACATTTTTTGAACGAGCGTTTAAAAAAAATTAGGCTAGACAGATCCCGCGCTTTGCTACGACGGTACGCGGGAAAAAAATACCGCGAAATTCTTTTTTCGGATGAAAAAATTTTTACTATTGAAGAAAGTTTTAACAAACAAAATGATAAGGTGTATGCCCACAGCAGTGAAGAAGCAAGCGTGCGTATTGCGAGGGTCCAGCGTGGGCATTACCCTTCCTCATTCATGGTTTGGCTTGGAGTCTCATATTCAGGCGTAACTGAGGTGTTTTTCTGTGAAAAAGGTGTGAGAACTAGTGCCGAAGTTTATCAAAATACTGTCCTAACAAACATAGTGGAACCTCTTTCTCAGACAATGTTCAGGAACAGGCATTGGATATTCCAACAGGACTCTGCACCGGCTCATAAGGCACGAAGTACGCAAGACTGGTTGATCGCTCGTGGAATTGACTTCATCCGGCATGAAGACTGGCCCTCTTCTAGTCCAGATTTAAACCCACTGGACTACAAGATATGGCAATATTTGGAGGAAAAAGTCTGTGCTAAACCTCACCCGAATTTGGAGTCTCTCCGAGCATCTCTGGTTAAAGCAGCGGCAGACATAGATATGAATGTGGTGCGTGCAGCGATCGATGACTGGCCGCGTAGATTAAGGGCATGTGTTCAAAATGGGGGAGGGCATTTCGAATAATGTAAATAAAATTATATTGTACATTTAATGACCTTTCATTTCATATATAATTTTTAAATAATTGTCAAAAGGCGTATAAGTTATTACATCAAAAGTTTGTGACAGAACTTATGACCCGACTAAGTATAAGTAACAAATTCACTTCTTTAATGTTAGTGTTATTGAAGTCTTATACTAACTAGATAAGTGATAGATTTACCTGTAATGAGTTTTATTATCTACCAGACACAGTATTTATGTATCTACATACAAATTTATTTCTAACTTCTCTTTCAACGCTTTCATTCTTATAGTAGTCATTTTTTTTAATAATGACAATCTTGTACTTGCGTTCTAAACTATACATGTGTTTCAGATATTTATTTTAGTTTTTTCATCACCGTTCTCATAAAAAAACTTTCTAATTTGACCTTTCCTCCATTACAGAATTCCTGCCAAAGAACCAAATAGAACAAATTCTACCACCAAAGACTAAAGCTAGTCCACCAAAAAGCAAACAAGAACCGCAAGCCTTGGGATGTCCAGAAGACTGTCCATGCAAGATGAATGTCCAAAAACCACAAAAGCGCCCTCTGCAATTACTGTTCAACTTAATAGGAATTATTGTGGCGTTAGTAGCCACTTACCTGATAGTCACCACAGATTCTAATATGTACCTAATATTTTGGATTTGTTACTCTGTTCTCAGGCGATTAACCAAGTCTAAATCTAGGTCCCGTGTTAAGTCTGACTAAGTCTATTTGTTCCTATTGTATTTATTTCTAGACTTAAGTATTTATTTATTCGCACTAACCAAACATGCAATGTATTCAATAAATTGTTTTTTGTTTATGTCTTTGTTCGATTCACTTGTTGTCATACTGTGATGTGTTCAATAGCTATCTGATTTGTCAAGCGGCGAGTGTGATTACTGAAATAGACTATATCTAGTAATATCGACAAAACGGTCAGATCTACTACTAGGTTTTGCCCGCGACTTTGTTCGCGTGGAATAGTAACTTCCTGCAGATTTTTTTTTTTGTTTTCAGAATTATCCTATGTCCTTTGTCAAGTTCCAAACTATGTCAATACCAACACACAAATAGGTTCAGTAGTTTAAGCGTGAAGAAAAGACAGATAGATAGAGTTACTTTTGCATTCATAATATTAGTTTGGACTAGCTTTTGTTCGCGACTTTGTTCGCGTGGAATAGTGACTGCCTGCAGATTTTTGGTTTAAAAACTATCTGTAGCGGCGTACTCCAGGCTACATATGGGTTAGGTTTCTGCTACTTAGTTGCCTACAGCGAAGGTTTTTTAGGAGCACAGTTAAAATGCAGCTTGATTTCAAATTCGTGTAATGGCGTAAAGTGTGTACAGTCATCGAGGAGAGGGGCTAAAGGAACAAAGTTGCGTTCGGATATCGGTACCAAACACTATCCTATGTCCTTTACCGAGTTCCAACCTATATACCACACACTAATAGGTTCAGTAGTTTAGGCATTTATTATAATATTAGTTTGGATGACAGAGCCAAGTGCTGAGTTAGCTGGTCAACTAGCAACACTGCTGAAATACTGGTTAAACTCTAGCACTCAGGCATTGAACATATAATTCAGCTGGTTAGTTGAAAGAAGAGATGGTAACATTTGAATAAGCAGTGCTTTATTTTCGTTGCAAAAATCCACAAACATAAGCATGCTTAACAAGATTTCAAATATATGTATACTTTTATATAAAGAGACCCATTCTCCATCACGATTTTCTCCTCTTTTACGTCAAGGTCAAGATCCAATAAAAATCGTCATCACACTGCTTATTTACAATCTTTTTCTAAACGTCATGCATTATGATTTTCTTCCGTGAATAATAGTTTCTTTCGGTTTTAAGAATAGTCGTAGATAGAATGTAAACGTAATCACGATTTTTTGCAACAATTAGTGTCGCCAGGAAGTTCGCTGACCCCAAAATTAACACTCCATTTTGTTTTTTGTGACACATAAGATTTTGGCGCAATTTCGAGATTGTAGATTGTAAGCCAGAGACCACGAACTTTTTATAAGTACTTATCTGAATTTTTTGTTGCGTTTTCGAAGTATTTTTTAGTAGTAAGTAGTTCTTCTGACTTTGGCATTGAACCATTGTATCGTTTTAACAATACAAGATAGGTCAATGTTGAGTGTTTCAAGTACGAATTTTGACTTAACTAACAAGGTTTGGTGGAAGAAATTTAATACGTATACGATTCTATTACACAGTGGCATGATCTGATTCAGGATTATAAGTGTAAGAGTATGAGAATGTTTTGGCACGAATGCGTCAGCTTTAATTGATACCACAACGGTACACCAAACAGTAATGAATGTGAGGCTGACGGAGATCCAATTCTTACTAATACCCAATTCCTTAATACCCCAATCCTCAAATCCCTTACTCCCATCATCATCAGAGCCCACTGCTGAGCAAAGGCCTCTTCTCACACGGCGAAGGTTTGAGTATAAATCACCACGCTTGCTCAAGGCGGATTGGCGATTTCAAACTTATAATTAGAAATTATATGTCCAGGTTTTCCTACGATGTTTTCATTTACCGTATGTCAGGGGTGTCCAGATGACATGAGAAGCAGGCGCCTTAACCTCTGGGCCACCACGACATTTTTTTTACCCTCATGAGGCCGGCAACTCACTTGCAACTTCATTAACGTTGCGAGTGGAGACGATTGCTTTTTTATAGAATAGGAGGCAAACGAGCAAACTGCTCACCAGATGTAAGTGATTGGCGCCGCCCATGGACATCTGAGCTACCAGAGAAGTCACAGGCACTACGGTTACCGTCAGGTTATCCAAATTCAGATTGTACACGTTTCGGAAAAGAAATGATATCTACATACATTCATACTTGCATACGTATTTTTTCTTATACCAATCAATTTAAGGAAACATCTGTCGATAAATGTTTGTTCTAGTTCTTTAACAAGGTCATATTTTTTACCGTAAATGTAGTACTAGCTTGGGACTGGTGGCTTCAGAAAAAACGCTATACATATACAATTAACAATTACAACAGTCTTAATCCAGTGATTGGAAAAACAAGATGAATAACGTTGTAAGTATAGTTTATACATACAAAACAAAATATATGATGAGCACCTATATAACCTACCTGTATTATTACATATGTATCAAATTGCCAATACTACTATTTAATGTTATTATGACAAAAACAGAGTGGTACTCGTTGCCAGAGTCTGTATTCCCCAAAGAGAACCTCAAGTCAGTCTTCTATACGGCGCGTAGCGTTCCGCGGGCGACTCAAAGAGCCAATAGACCACCACAGACGGGGCCCTATAGGGCTGATGTTCAGCCGGGGTTGCGGGGTAAGAGCAATGAGGCACCGCCACCTCGTCCCCGAGCAGGTGAAGGAACAGGGGGTTTTTAGTCAGTAAGAGTCTGACACTCCCTCCCGCCCAGCCGTGGGCGGGAGAAGACATTTGATGATTTTCCCCTCCCAAAAAAAAAGTCAGTCTTCAAGGCCTGAGTGAAGAGATTCCTAATGGGCTTCGTGTTTAAGATAACACAAAGAAACAAACAACTGTGTTATTAAATTATTATTGTTTCGGGATCTGGATTTTAAGTGTCAGACGACACAGGAGACAATCCTAGTGGCCGGTAACATTGAACGAGACTAATTCATCCTGACCCAGTCAGCCTGTTTCTATAATACTAGCAAGGATACTAGCTAGGATCACCTGGAGGTAACTATGGAGCACACTACGGAGAGATTCCAGAAAAGAAGAAAATATTTAATTTTTTATGTCTTAGGTCGGCAAACGAGCACACGGATTACTTGGTAGTAGGTATATAAGCAATCAGCGACGCCCATGGACACTTCGAATACCAAAGGAGTACCACAAGTGCATTGACAACCTCTTGTGCGTTTTTAGGGATTAAAGGATAGGGAATTTGAGGATTAAGGGGGGGCCTCCGGTAAACTCGCTGCTTCATCGTATCACTCTGGTCGAGACAGCCACAAAAAAGGTTGTTCCTCTTGTTTAACTTTATGATTTTGTTTGTTTATAAATCCCGTTCTCTTTCTGCATTACGACTCGTGACAATACCGCTTGAGACAAACTTAGAAACCACATCAATTAGCAGCCAGCGGGTAATGAGTGCTTGTGCATATCGACACGATGTTGTCTAGCTTTCTCTACTACACTAGTGTGAAACTATTTCTACAGACCGTTTAGTAGGGGCTTTATAATCATTTAGTTCATAACATATTTATTTACCAAACAATGCTTGAATACTAGCTTCGCCTACATGCTATGTTGATAAAAACAAACCTATGTGTTAATCCAGGGTACCGCCTCACTACATACCAAATTTCAACCAAATCGGTCGAGCCTTTTTTGCGTGAAAGAGTTACAAACATACATTGTTGCAGAGATAGTAACCATTGCTTGGCTACTAAAGATATAACCTTCATTAAAACCAAAAAATTTCAGTGTACTAATAGCTACTGCTTTTGTTCCAAGCCATTCTTTTTTTTTGCCAGCATACCAAATACTCACTAGTTCCCTTCTAATAAGGACCACATTGCCATGAACCTAAAATGTCAGACTCTTACCAACTCAAAACTACTCCAATCCAACTTTTTTATATCGTATATACAATAGAGAGATAGAGAATTAAGTATAATCACACTCACACGGCGAAACACAACGTAAGTGTTGCTTCTCGTCGGTTTTCTGTGAGGCCGTGATATTACCCCGGCTAAGCAGGCGCGTTCGTACTAAAGCATGGTTCTCCTACTCATGCATAACTCCTGTTTTAGAAAGGCTCTTACTTTTTTTTGAGCTTGATTACATGCCTTTTTCCCTTCCTAGTTGGGGCGAGAGGGAGTGTCAGACTTTAACTGACTAAAACCATCCCGTTCCTCCTACTCCTGGCTAGGATCGGGCTACCTTATTGGATAGTGAGAGGCTCTAATTGACAATTTTCTATATAGTAGGTGGCTTGTGGTGTGATCTTGAGGTGTGTATTCGAATTATGATGACTATCGGGTCCAAAAATATACTTACTTATTGTTATAAAAGTTGAAGAACTAAATGTTTTACAACCGGGATTTTACCTATATAGGTATAAGACAAATAATATACTGCTACTACTTCTATTATTTTACATTTATAAGTAGTAAACTTTAAAAATAGAAGTCTTAAAATCGATTTAAAATGAACCGTAAATTAGTTCAATAACAAAACAAAAAACCTCTTAAAACCATTTCAAAATAAACCATAAAGAATTTGATACTTGTTATAAAACGGAGTGAATCACTGCGTGCGCGCAGGTCGTCGACATTAGACTTCGTGTCGTTCCGCTAAACCGCAGATCTGATCTTTGTTAATAACAAATCTTGATTTCTATCTCATTTGTTGATGTTTTCTTTGTCTATCTTTAAGGTTTCTGGTGCGAACTCTGTTAAAGTTTTGACTTTACTTATTTCGAAGATAGTAAAGAAAAACTTTCACAAGCAACAGAGTGATGGCGTCAAAGGTAAAAAAAAATTGATAACATGTGGCAGAACTTTGTTGAAAAGAGATCTTTCAGTAATCTGCCGAGATATTCTGTAATGGCTTTCGTCAGTTCTTCAAGATAAGAGTACCTACCTCGCCAACTTACAGTCTATATTTTTTTTTCCTAAGTAATTCGAATATTATGTATCTTATTTACACACTATATTTTATATAGAAAATTCTCGGGCTACAATGTTAGTTACCTTACTCATCCAAAACACTTTTACTGATTTTTATCAAATTTTATATGCATATTCAGTAGGCTCCACACCCCTAAGTGAGGGTTGTTCATCCTTTACATTTTTTTTCGAAGTAAATTTACATGGCAAAGCCTAAGCCGGGTCACCTAATAAGTATACCTATGTAGTATATATAAGTCTCCCAACATACCTACTTATACATACATATGTGCAAAGAAACTAAAACATAAATAATACAATTCCCGTGAGAAACCCGAGCTGCCATTAGAAGGATGCCTGATGCAGTTTTTGCCTCATTACCTGCATCCAAGGTCAAAATTTCCCATTAAGCATAATTTGCAGCTTTTTATTCAGTTTCGGATCCTTCTAAACATAGATTACTAAACTGGTTCCTTTGTTTTTATTAGAAAGAATTAGCCATGTTTTGTTTACTCATAAGTAAGAGGGAAATTTTATTTTATTATTAGGTATATGTACATACGTATTTACTTCTTATAAAACCTTATAAAACTTTTGACTGCACGGTTGGTGCGGTGGCTGGGCAACTGGCTGCCGTGCAAAGTGTCGCGGGTTCGATTCCCGCACGGAACAACACTTTGTGTGATCCACAAATTGTTGTTTCGGGTCTGGGTGTCATGTGTACGTGACATTGTACGTTTGTAAACGCACCCACAACACAGGAGAAAATCCTACAGTGGGGCAACGTTCTTTAAAAAAAAAAAAAAACCTATATTTTTGACATATATATACTTCATTCAATATCTGAGACGATAATTCCAAAAGGTGTATATTTGATAGGCGATAGATTTATTTAAAGATTAAAAAAATACACATTTATCAGCTACGAATCTTCAGAGCAAGAGGGAAAGAGATTTGTCAAATTAAATGTTTATTTCATTCAATGTTGCCAGATGAACATAATATGAATCGAAAATATTTAAAATTCATAAATAATATACAAATAAATGTGTCCTATATTCCAACGACATAGGGTTCATAATTTATTTATCCGCAGTCTAGTCAAACTGCGGCGCATTACATATATTTTAAACATGTCTTGCAATGCGCCAAGTTCTGTCTGCTGCTTGGTAAATTATCCTTACTGCGCCAAAAGACAAAACATTAAGCTTGGAATGTATTTTGTATATTTTATATAAAGATAGTTGATACTATCTGCTCTTACATCGAATTTAGGGAAAACATTTGCAAATAATAGTGTAAACGAAAAATGGCAAAATTTATCTAATTCTGCAATATCATTACGGGCTAAATTAGGTCAGCAGCTGCAGCAGTTACTATTTATGCATGGTTTGATGAAACTTTAGCTCATGCTACTGCTGCCTACCAAGGTTGTAAGTGCTAACGAGATATGGTACCGCGGTCCGGGCTCGAAGAAGGAAAAGAAACACGGCTGTTTCTTGGAGTCTGCATCTCATATAATTTAATTCTTGCATTTGTTTACTATCATATTTTGGAAGTTTGTTACGTTTTCTAACTAAAGTCTTTTGGTATCAAATCTTTGTCCGCACTAGCTTCGTATCAGCAGCGAATCGGTCGTCACACAAGTTGGCCCTATTACAAGTTTTAAATGTGAGGGAGCCAAGCTTTGTCACGAATGTTCAGGCTCACGGCGCTCTTAAAGAATACCGACGCTTACATTGAGTCTTGCCGTGCGAGTAAATTTACCTAACCCCCTAATTACCAAATCGCACCCCAAATTATCAAGTCCCTTACACCAACAAAATATTGGCAACGCACTTGTAACTCTTTAGGCGTTTTCGCGATTGCGTACCATCATCTCATTGACGCCGCTTGCATATCTGTAATCCTTAAGGATTTTATTCTATCCTAGTAATATTATAAATGTGAAAATTTATGGATGTATGTTTGTCATTCTTTAACACAAAATCAGCTGGACTGATTTGGTAGAATTTTGGTATGGAGATAAATGACAAACTGGATAAACACATAGAGTGCTTTTGATCAACGTACCAAGCTATGGGCGAAAGCTAGTTTATTTTATAAAACTCCCTATTTTTGCAGTATTATGGTTCGCGAATTGCATTACATTCACAAAGTTGTTATAGGAAAACTTGGTACACAAACAGATGTAATCGTATCGGCAGCCGGGGACGGGAGAGCGAACCGGTCCGGTCGCCTGTCCGTGCCGCGAGACCGGCCTGTTTTTGTTTACAGCCCAATCATTTATTGTACCTTTACACAACGTGGTACCAGATAAATAACTATCTTATTTTAGTGCAGGAGATGGAGTGTGATTTACTTACATGATGTTTTTTTAGAACATAATGATAATTTTAATTAATAAGGTTTATTTTATTAATAAAATAATGTTTGGATGTTATTATTCATAATAACCTTCCTCTTTAATCACTGGCAAATCCGTGGCCAAGAAAGCAATAGAGGGACTGAGCAAAGAGAATATAACCATTATGGTTATATGGGACAGAGAAAGCAAGTTTGGTTTAAACTACGCAGAAATTTAAAAAAACCTTATCAGTATAATAGAGATATTTTCGACAACATGTAATTAAAAAAGAAGAGGATGCTACAAATCAAAAAATCAAGTACAAAAAATACTGTGTTTATTAAAAACATGATCCGCATATCCTCCTCCTCCTCTCAAGTAGGCACATGTAA